ATAATTCCCATGCTACGTGTCTGCCATGTTTCTGAATTCTTGTGTCAGTAGGCAGCCTGCGACAGAGTGGCAACGTGTATTCTTTGGGGCTGTCTGTATCTTCTTAGGTTGGGTGGGTTTTTTTTCCCTTATTATATGATTTAATTAGATGTTTAATAATTTTAAAACTACCTCCAGAGCATCTAGGAAAGTTCCTCTAATAGTGAAGCATTAAGTAGCTTTAAGTGCCTCACAGAACTAAACCTTGGAAGCATTTCTGAAATATTTCCTCTGCTAAGCAAGAGGGATGTCATGAAATGAAACAAAAAAGGAAACAATATTTCATTTGTATGGAAGGATAAAGTACATTTAATCTAAAACATCCTACTTCAATATTGATGGTTTACTTGTGGAGTTCAGCAGTTTTAAAATAGAAATCTTATTGGTATTAACTCTACCACATGTAGGACAAATTAATCACATAGAAATGCACACATGTTACTGTACATCGTAGATATCAAAAAGCTAAAGCACTGGAAGTTCAGGGGTTTTTGTAACTTTGAATACAGCTGTCTTAATTTTAAAACAAAAATGTTCAGCTTCTGGCAACTTACATAGTAGCATTTCTAATGTTTTTTAAACAGCTATTAATGTAGTCAAGCTGTGTTTTTTTTCTTCTTGTGTGTGTAATCATCTGCTCAGTGGTGCACTCTATAACTAGTAGCAGGAGACAGAGGAGTGGCCTGCTGTGATTGATGGGGCGAGGCCCAGCAAACTGAAAGAGTCCCATCTGGATTAGGTTTTGGGAGCAGTCAGATGTTGAGAGGGAGGTCAGTAAGCCTTGCATTAGCTCCCCCTCCTTCAACACCCCTATCATCCACACTCATGCACACATTACTTTGCTCACACGCCCTCATCCATAATTGATGCTTGCTTTGGGCAGATGCTGTATGGCCTGGGACTAGAGCAGCTGCTAAGTTTATGGAGAATAAAGGGAGCAGGATGGTACAGCAGCAGGTATTTTCACTTTTATTTTCACTTGAAACTCTTGATTTTAGGCAAGGCAGGGCATTTCTTATAACCAGCTGCACCACTGCATGCAAGACTTCTAATACATGTTTTGTTGCTTAAGTCTGAAGGAGGGCAAATTACGGTGGTGATTATGTATCTCTGCTGTGCTTGAAATATCTAACGGAACTGTTCTTATAACCAGCAGGCTTACACAGTAATGTTGCATTTTCCTTCTTTGTTTCCGTGCCCTAAGGATATGATGCAGCTTGGCTCATTTAACTACAGTATGAGAGGCTTTCTCTAAATGTGAAATATCCCTTGCCACAGAAAAAACAAAATGCACCAAACAGAAAATAGAGTAAAACAAACAATAAACTGTTAGCTAGACTTTAAAATGCAGGCAAGCAGAAAGGTTTTCATTGAATACATTTTTGTGCTGCAAATGGGTTTTTATAAAGAAACACTGCATAAGTAATGTTTTCTGTGCTCTGTCTTTTGTATACAAACATAACAAGCTTGCTTTATTATGTTTTGACACTTTTCATGCATTTCTTAATTATGAAATCCTTTCAGAGCAGAAGATACTGGAAAGGCATGTTGAGATCTGAGATACTAGCAGCATTTTAAATTCTAAGCTTTTCTTCAAATGGAGTATTATATATATGGAATAGGAATGATTTCACTTACCTGCATCATTGGAATGCTTTCTTTTTTTGTTCTTTAGAGTTCAACATTTAACCAGAAAGCAATAAATTTGATTTTATACGCTGCCACGTAAAGCATATTTTTCAGTTGAAATGTGGTTTTCATTAAAACTCAGGCCAAAACATTTAGCAGAGCCTGACTGTCTGCCATCCTTTGTTCTTCTTTCTGTTGCCAACAACTACTTTATTAAAAACCATGCACAAAGTGAGCATTAAGGGGTCATTTAATCTTAAAGATACTTGGAACTGAGTCTGAAGGGACAACTTCTGTTTAGCCTCTCATGCCTAGGTTGTATTAAGCGATGTCTGTGTACTGTCATCTGCAGTTTTGAGATTACTCTAATACTTGAGTTCATAGGCTAATTTAGGATCAATATTTCCTGTTGCTTTTAGGGCCATTTCATATTTTCAACTTAATGCATTAGATCTATTATTTCCTTTATTCATTTTAGTTCACTGTATTTTAAAGGGCGCAACAAAGGTACATTTTAGGTGATTATATTTGAAGAATTTCTGGTTCTTCAAAATCTATTCAAATGTATCTGACTTTTGTGCAGTCTGGGGTTTCCATCAACCACATGTATATACAAATATGTGTTAGCTGACACTGCATTGTTCTTGATATAAATTCATAGTCTAAACAATAAGCTATTGGCTTGATACCCATATAAGTAGTAAAGAACATGTTTATACATACATGCTTTTCTACTACATTGTAATACTGTGTCTATTGAATTAATTGTGAATCATAAATTCACACTAATTTTAAAGGCTAGGAAAGGCTACACTAGGCACTGATTTTTAACAAAACAACCCCCTGTCACCCTTCGTTGTTTACTTACTAATGGGATCTCGGTTCTAAGTAAGTGTGATACAGACCTCAGCTTAACAAGTCTAATGAAAGAGGTACAAGAGTCTCAGCAATGTGAAGGTGCTGGAATTGCCAGTGCAGTTTGCCATTTTATGATAAATCTAAAAAGTGAATCGTTTGGAGTTGCTGGTAAAAATAATATAAAAGTTCAACCCTCTTAATTAAATATTAGCTGTAATTAGCACTAAGTGTGAATGCTTTGAATATTAATTAGGGTCTCATGGAACTGCTGTCAGTGTTAATGAGAAACAGTGGGGGTCTCGGCAACATCTGGTTTAGGACTCAAGGTAGTACTAAAACCTTTAGATCAAATGCACCTGGACATTAGCCCTTGGTCCCTTTGTTGCCATTATTGTTCTTTTTTAACAGCTGCTGACTCTAATGCCATGTTTAGCATCTGACATGAAGGAATAGCTTAAAGACCAGCAGTAACCAGCTACCGTGTTCCAAAGCCAGCACAGTGAAAATGCTTATATAGGCAGAAGTTCGATTTGCTGTTGTTCATTCTTACCACTTGCTGAAGTCCTTCCTGAAACTGTTGATTAAAAAAAATACAGTCCCCTGCCTCCCCCACAAATTTTAAAAATACTTCTTTAACATTTAATAAATGTCTCTGATCTAATCCAGTCATTGCTGGTTTTTACTTCATCTGGATTTTTTTTTTTTAACAGTGAAAATATTAGGTAAAAGAAATAAGAAAGGGAACTCGCCGTTTTAATATAAGAGCGTATAAGTATACATTTACAAGAGTTTTTAACCTCCACTGAAATTTAAACAGTGCAAGTTTCAGTGCAGCAATAAACTTGGAATGATTGTAGATATATGCAAATGAAACTTACTGACCTAGCCCTGTGAAGTAGGCAAATGTCACTGTTTTCATTTTAAAGGTAGTTGAATGAAGCACTGTAAACAACTTGCTCAAGGCCATACACTAAAATAGTAGCAAAGATGGGATTAAAATTAGGGAGGGTTTGATTGCTGATATAATGTTTTAATTTTTTAGGACGCACCGAATGCCTTTTACAAAGGAAAATTTGATTTTCCCTTCTAAGCCTGGCATGTACCAAGGCTTATTCCTGTGCTGTGATTCTGAAATTCTTAAAGGCGCTTGAGTTGAGGTCCAGTTCAGGTCAGAGAACTGATGTCTGAACTAGTTGAAATTGGCTGGAAATGTCTTTCAGTAGAAAATACAAAAGAATGTCTTTTATTCATCCAGCCTGTTTTGAAATTAGGAAATCAAGGACTGATGAGTATAAATAAGCAAAATCCCTACAGTAGTCCTGTGCAGGTACTTATACATGCTTTGGGACATGTACATGGGAAGATGACAGAGTATTTTAAAAACTAACTAACATTTTACTCAAATATTCATTTTTGCATTACTTGATATTTAGAGGGATAATTTTGTCTTGTAAATCAGCTCATCTGAGTTTGGGATAATCCCTGTATTAATGGCCTCTAATGCTGTGTCATCTGCAGCATCATGTTTTGGACATCTTTTGTGTAGGTTCTGAAAGATTGTTCTGTACATTTCCTCCCCTAGAATTATTACTATTTGGTATGAGCAGAGCATTTAGTCAGAAGTTTCTAATTGATAAATTAACATGCTCGACTGTCCTTTATTATATCAAACATAAAGATGGATCTATCTATAAAGAGATGAGGGCATTTGTTTTTAATTGTATAGGTTTATTGTAATATGGAAATGAAATACTATTGTCTTCAAATTTAAAGCCTTTAAAGTTTTTACATCTATTTCTTTTGACAGCCTACAACATAGAATTTTTCTTTTACGTTAACTTAAGATTTTAGACTGATGCATTTTTAGATTCAAATATTTAATATTTTGATTGGATCTCATTATTTTTTTGCATTTGTGCATGCAGTTGCTCAATACAGTGTACCTCAAAGTATTTCTGAATATCTTATAGAGCATTATTTCATAAAAATATTTTCAGTATATGGTTAACAATATGCACCCAAATCCTGCTCTGTGTGTAGGCTGCATATATTGTGTTCTGCAAATGGTAAGTCAGAATGGATCACAGACCATGGGCTAACCTTATCAGAGCTCTGTATTGGCAGTTGCGCTCAGTAGCCTTTGGAATAAACTGAGCTTTGTCCCTCTTCATTGTCTGAGTTGAGGCATTAGTTCAGGTAGACTTCACTGACCTTTCCCAGTTAAAGAATAGTCTACAATTATCCAGAGAACAGCAGATTTGTTTGTCTAATTATAATAAGATTTAACAGGGTTAGCAAAATGGATTTAATTCAGATAAGAAATTTTCTCCTCAAGAAACAAACATTGTGCCCTTTTCAGGCCGGCAATCTTAGCAGAATACTGTCATCGCTTTCTGTGTTACGTGTGCAGGTTCAAGGCTTATTTTATCTCACTCCACATTTCTTCTTCCTTTTTTCTTCTTTGATTTTTACAGGGTAATCAGGAAGCTACAGCACCTCCTGACACAATGGCACAGCCTTATGCCTCAGCCCAGTTTGCTCCACCTCAGAATGGTATCCCTGCAGAATACACAGCCCCACATCCTCATCCAGCTCCAGACTACACAGGCCAAACCACTGTTCCAGAGCACACGTTAAACATGTACCCTCCTGCTCAGACACACTCTGAACAGAGCGCAGCTGACACAAATGCACAAACTGTCTCCGGCACAGCCACAGTAAGTCAAGGTTTCAGCTATTTCTAAAGCAGTATGTTTCAAGTTATGTGTATTTATTGATAACATTTATTCTTACGTTACGCTTAATAGCTTTGCACTTCATTTGTGTTAGGATTACTCACCATTTCAAGGTTGAAAGTCTGTCAAAGTTTATCATTGAACTTGGAGAATATAATTTTGCTGCTTTTGGAACCTCTTAGTAAGTGTGGGAGCTTTGTAGAATCTGTAGTTTCCTTTTCTACAGTGTTAGACAGACAAAATGATTAATAGCAAGCCCATGAATCATATAATAAAGCTTGACTAAGTCCAATATGGAAAAACATTGCAAAAGAGTGTTTGTAAGCATTCATTTGGGAAAAAAAAAACAAACAAACCAGACTCATTTTGTTATTTTTAACGACCTCTGTATTCTTGACACTTCTGAGTAGTTTTTCATAGAAGTGTCCATTGAATGATACTGTATTGAAATTAGTTGTGGAACTGTGTGAATGAGTATTGTGAAGAGCATGTCTGTAATACTGTATTTTCTAGAGAGCTTGTTTGTGCAGCCATTACCAAAGTTGTGTGTGGATCTGTGCTCAACAGAGCAGAAATGATAGACTTTTTCCTTCTATTTGATTTATATATGAAGTTCTGAAGTGCCATGAATAATGCAAGAGACTCCTTGGATGGCCCTACCTGGTAATTTAAGTCACAAATTTCACACATTGATAGTTTAGTGCTTATGTCTTAATTCTAGATTGGGACCCAATATGTCCAGTGCCAACATCTGGCAGATTTCTGAGCCATCAGCCTGTTGTGGTTTAACCTGGCAGGCAGCTAAAAGCCGCACAGCCGTTGGCTCACTCCCTGCCCCCAGTGGGGTGGGGGAGAGAATCGGGAAAAAAAAAGTAAAATTTGTGGGTTGAGATAAACACAGTTTAATAGGACAGAAAAGGAAGGGAAAATAATAATAATAATGATAAAAGTATATACAAAATAAGTGATATACAATGCATTTACTCACCACTCGCTGACCGATGCCCAGCCAGTTCCCGAGCAGCGGTCACACCCAGCCGGCCAACTCCCCCCAGTTTATGTACTGAGCGTGACGTCCCATGGTATGGAATGTCCCTTTGGCCAGTTTGGGTCAGCTGTCCTGGCTGTGCCCCCTCCTGGCTTCTCGCTGGCAGGGCACGAGAAGCTGAAAAGTCCTTGACTAGTGTAAGCACTACGTAGCAACAACTAAAACATCAGTGTGTTATCAACATTATTCCCATACTAAATCCAAAACACAGCACTGTACCAGCTACTACAAAGAAAATTAACTCTATCCCAGCTGAAATCAGGACACAACCACATGGGTTACATGTGTAGGATCTAGCACAGAACAGACAGCACACTGCAATTTGAGCATGCACTTGAAACATCTCTACTAGCTGTCCTCATCCTTGCCACAACCATGCTCCATACCTCATCTTACCTCCCCTTCCTCCCCTGGCATATATCCAACGTGAAAAGTTTCATGCAGCAGGGCAAGAAGAAAGGGAAAGCATGTTCCCTTAATTGAGTTGTTTGAAGATTTATGTTTATTGCCATGTCACTAATTTCATTATATGGGTATGAACAAGAAAGAAAAGCAATAACAATAGCAAAAGCACAAAAGGATATTCCTTGCTACTATCATGGAGATGTCCTTGTGAATTAATTACAGAGTTTTGTGGTTTCTGCAGTAAAATGTTTCAGTTCTTTTAGTTTTGATTTGGTAACTTTTTGTTGCCCTGATTGGCCCTTTGCTCTAGTAGTGTGAGAAAGTTTAAGTTGAAGAGCATCCTGTTTACCTATATCTCATAGTATTCTTTGCAGCTCTACATTGTCCCCTCTCATTCATCTCTTTGCTAAGTTAACTTCCTGGTTCTTTCCAGCTTTTAAAATTTTCTTCCATAATCATTTGTGATTGTTGTCAAACTCTTGTCATTTGCCACTGTCATTGGTTTAGAGCAGGAACCCTAAGCTGAGTAGATACTCCAGAAGAGATTGGATATTGACTAAAAATGTAGTCTTTCCTACTGTCCCTGTCTCATTATTCTTATATTCTATTCTTTTGCTTGCTCTTTTGACTGCTGCTGCACACTGAACAGTCCACTGTGATGCCCAGCTCAGCCTTTTCGTATTTTGTAACTGTTGGTCTGTTTGCTGTTCAGTTCTGAAGTAAAAGACTGTTAGTGCTAAAATCAATGGTAAAACACCTGATGATGCAAGTGGGAGAGGAGCTCATCCCTCATCATTTATTGCTTTCAATTTATTGTGTTTCCTCACCCCTTTTTGATTTTTTCAGTTTGAAGAAGTGTTAGTACCTTTATCAGGAAAGTCAGGTATGCATTTTTCCAACGTCTTCCATGGCAAAGGCTGATGAAAAGAAATAATTTGGACTGTCTGCAATGCCCTTATCTTCTTCAGGTGCTCTATTCAATCCCAGCTCTAGCAAATCCAATGATTCCCTTGAAAGTTTCCTGCTTCAGATATACTAATAGGCTTTATTGTTACTTGTTTTTGTATCCTTTGCTTTCTGCTCTTCTTATTTCCTTTTTGCCTTCCTAATATCCAACTTATATTTTACCTGTCATAGACTTTCTCCCTTCTGGTTCCACTTGGAGTGAACTTCTATTCTCTGAAGAGCAACACTTCAATTCCACTAACCTTTTGTATTTGGGGAATATAGTATAGTTATTTGCTCTTTTTATTACGGACCCTTTTCTTGTCTTCCTGTTTCCTTTCTTATAGAGGAATGCACATAACTTTTTGAAGTAGCTCCCATGCTGTTTATAAAGAATTAATTTCCTTACTTTTGACTTTAGGGTATCTTCGAGAAAGTTTTGTTTTGTTTTTTAAAAAGATACTTTTTCTAAATTGCAATGTTATATTGAAAGTCGTGGATACTCTCCCTCCCTGGAGAACAATGCATTGAAAATAAAAGTTTACAAGAAGTGTGTATCTATGGATCTACGTTGTTCAAAGTAGCCTTGACATTTAACGTATTACTCATCAGTTTATTTGACTGTAAATTTGTAAAACTTTGTTTTCACAGTTTAATTATGGGTACCTCGGTCTAAAATCTGTTTTGCTGTGTCTAATTAGCATTCCACTTAACACACTGTAGAGTCATTATAAATAGGCATATGCAGATGGATCCCCGGCAGATTTGACATAGGCTTTGTAATATTAGGAGGGTCCAGCTGTATACATCTCTCTGTAGGTTTAACAATACATGTTTTTATTATGAAATAGAGCTTCAGTAGCTGTGTCAACATTGTAACTCCATGTGGTCTTTATTGTTGAAGGGAAAAAAAATCATGTTTCTTTCCAGTTCCTGCTAGGTTTTTGAGTAGTTGGCTACCAGTCTTAAAGAATCATCGAATCATAGAATGGTTTGGGTTAGAAGGGACCTTAAAGATCATCTAGTTCCAACCCCCCCTGCCATGGGCAGGGACACCTTCCATTAGATCAGGTTGCTCAGAGCCCCGTCCAACCTGACCTTGAATGCTTCCAGGGATGGGGCATCCACAACTTCTCTGAGCAACCTGTTCCAGTGCCTCACCACCCTCACAGTGCAGAATTTAGATACAAATCCTTGTATCTAATCTAAATCTAGTCTCTTTTCAGTTTAAAGCCATTACACCTTGTCCTATCTACATGCCCATGTAAAAAGTGCCTCTCCAGCTTTCTTGTAGGCCCCCTTCAGGTACTGGAAGGCTGCAATAAGGTCTCCCCGAAGCCTTCTCTTCTCCAGGCTGAACAACCCCAACCCTCTCAGCCTGCCTTCACAGGAGAGGTGCTCCAGCCCTCTGATCATCTTCGTGGCCCTCCTCTGGGCTTGCTCCAACAGGTCCATGTCCTCCTTATGTTGGGGGCCCCAGAGCAGAACACAGTACTCCAGGTGGGGTCTCATGAGAGCAGAGTGGAGGGAGAGAATCATCTCCCTCGAGCTGCTGGTCACACTTCTTTGGATGCAGCCCAGGATACGGTTGGCCTTCTGGGTTGCCAGCGCACATTGCAGGGTCATGATGAGCTTCTTATCAATCAACACCCCTAAGTCCTTCTCCTCAGGGCTGCTCTCAATCCATTCTCTGCCCAGACTGTATTTCTGCTTGGGATTGCCCCGACCCATGTGCAGGACCTTGCACTTGGCCTTGTTGAACTTCATGAGGTTCATATGGGCCCACGTCTCAAGCCTGTCCAGGTCCCTCTGGATGGCATCCTGTCCTTCTGCCATGTCAACCATACCACACAGCTTGGTGTCATTGCAAACTTGCTGAGGGTGCACTCGATCCCACTGTCCGTGTTGCCAACAAAGGTGTTAAACAGCGCTGGTCCCAATACCAACCCCTGAGGAACGCTACTCATCGCTGGTCTCCACTTGGACATCGAGCCATTGACTACAACTCCGTGTGTGACCATCCAGCCAAGTCCTTATCCACCGAGTATTCCATCCATCAAATCCACGTCTCTCCAATTTAGAGACAAGGATGTCATGCAGGACAGTGTCAAATGCTTTCAACAAGTCCAGGTAGATGACGTCAGTTGCTCTTCCCTTATCCACCAATGCTGTAACCCCGTTGTAGAAGGCCACCAAATTTGTCAGGCACGATTTGCCCTTAGTGAAGCCGTGTTGGCTATCACCAGTCGCATCCTTATTTTCCATGTGCCTTAGCATAGCTTCCAGGAGGGTCTGTTCCATGATCTTCCCAGGCACAGAGGTGAGACTGACTGGCCTGTAGTTCCCCGGGTCTTCCTTTTT